CGTCTGATTTCGCTTCCTTGGTGACGTTGCAAAGGGATCTCATTATAATATTACCGCCCCTTAATCTGTAAGTTTACACCCAAGGCACCATCATTTGTTTTCGCAAGCGACAACGGTGTACTAGTTCTAATGCCATAGCGAAAGTTTGAGCAAAACATGCTAACTGTTCTGTGTTTGGCTGCACAGACGATCACAGAACACTGTTTAGAGTCCCAGCCTCAGAGGAGACAAGCAGTGTATTTATTGGTTTATTTACTGTATATTGCTGCTGCCATTTAGATCTAAAATAAACAAGCAATTTATTTCCCAGCTGTTTACCTTCACAGACATAACCCACTGTTTTTGTAACTCATGTGTGTTTTTAAGGTAAACTTGTGTGTGAATGAGAACTTAGTTTAGTACTCACATGCTGTGACAGCCGCTTTCTGTGCATGTGCTACTGATGTGTGCGCTCAGAAAACCTTATATCAGAAGTTTAAACTCATATGGTTTAAAACGCATGATTTCAGCGCGATAAACATGATAATCAGAACCAAAACAGATGTTTTTAGCAGGTCCGAGCTGTAATGGTGCAGCTCTATTCTGGAAAAGGGGGCGTGGAGCAGCAGCTCATTTGCATTTAAAGACACAGGCCCGAAAAACAGAGTTTTTCTGCTTCCAGTCAAAATAGGCATTTTCAAAATGTTATAATAAATGATCTGTGGAGTATCTTGAGCTGAAACTTCACAGACACATTCTGGGGACACCAGAGACTTATATTATATATTGTAAAAAGGGGCATAATATGTCTCCTTTAAAAAGTCTGCGTGTCTGTAGTTTTGTAGCGGATACGGACCAGCTGAAGGATCAGTGGGTGGAGGCCATGCGCAACTCTGTCGCAGAGGCTTTGTCCAATTACGAAGTGGCTGAGCGCATCTGGACGGAGCCGTCCAATCAGATGTGTGCCGACTGCAGCGCTGCCAAACCTGAGTGGGCCGCCATCAACCTGGCCGTGGTTTTCTGCAAGCGATGCGCAGGTAACGACCAATCATGAGGAAAGCTGCTTTACAAGCTTTTGTGAAATAACATGCGCCAACCATCTTCCATTTAAACTTGTAATAAGAAGCGCATAGGTAACACTTTCCATTTGTTAACATGAACTAACAATGAAAAATACTTTGAAAGCATTTAAGCTCAGCTCATATTAACCTAAATTATTAATCATTATTAAAACCCAATGTTTTATTTGTTAATATAAATTAATGGACCTAAGCTAACATGAACTAACAATGAACAGTTGAACTTTTATTAATTACCAGTAACAAAGATTACTAAATACTGTAACAATTGTATTGCTCCTATTTAGTTAATATTAGTTCATGCATTAATAATGTTAACTAATGAACCTTATTGCAAAGTGTTACCTGCGCATATCAACAAAACAGAAGCTTTAAGGGCTTCCTGTGGTTTTACATCAAAATAAAAGTTTGTTTGAAAATGAAGAAATTAAGACCATAAATATTAGTAAGTACTGTACAGTAACGTGAAATAAATTATTATTATTATTATAATTATTTAAATACTCAATTTATTTATTACATTAAAATATTACAATTAAGTTCTTATTTATTTATTTTTGCTGCTATATTATTATTATCATTGTTGTTATTTAATTAAATACTTGTAATTAAATACTCAATTTTTATTGCGTTGAAATATTACAATTACTATTTCTTATTTGTTTTATTTAGTAATTTTTTTAATTAGTAGTAGTAGTAATAATAATAATAATGATAATAAATTTTTGCATAAATATATATAATTATATAATTAATTATATAATTATTGCTATTATTACTAAGTATATTATTATTAAATGCAGCCTTACAAATGAGCATAGCAACCCTGGATTTTTAAAATCATTTTAAATTGCAATCGCAATTTTTATCATAAAATTGCAATTAATTTCCCCCCACCAAATCGTGCAGCCCTATTTCTGCAGCTGTCTGGACAGAATTAAAATTTGCGGAAAAACGAGACCTCCTAGATCAAAAATCAGAGTGACCATTTTAAATTTGCCTTGACCCAAGGATTCCAAAAATGTAGCATTTTGGAGTCTACAATAAGCGGTTTAGGAGTTATTGGCACTTTTGCGTTTTTGATCGCTGTAGCGCCCCCTATTGGCCGATTGGGCTGAGACTTTGATAGGTTCTCCCCAAATTGAGCTCTATCATTTGGCCAAGTTTCAAGTCTCTAGGCCTTACGGTTTGGTCTGCACGATCAGTTTTAGGGGAGAAGAATAATAATAAAAAAAATAAAAATCCTAACGATTTCAATAGGGTTTCAGCACTGCGTGCTTGAACCCCTAATTAAATTGTTTGTGAATGAACTCAAAGCTGTGAAGGACAGACTTACAGTCCGTTCAATGGGTTTGTACTGGCAGAAACATTACTTTTTTTAATGCAGTGGTCAATTTTGAGATTTTGGTCTATTTGGCTTTTTTTTAACATGTTGTTTCAGACTAGTGGAGAGAAAACATCTAAAATACACTTTTAAGTGTTTATTTTATTGTACTTTATCTATTTGCGTCTGTAGATTTAAATTACATTACATATCTTTAAAAGTTTTTTCTCCACTCCAGCAGCACTTACATGCACCAAAACTTAGAGTTGTGTTCCTCTCTATATTCTGAAGGTTTTTACTGAGGGGTTTGATCATATATATTGTTTGCACTGATTTATATAACATTTTATTCCTAAAAACATGTCAAAAATGTTTTTTTTTGTCTGTTGACATTATTTTCTGATTTATGAAGTGATAAAAAGAGAAATACAAAATCCCCACAGTAAAAACCTTTAACTCTAATATGTCAACAAAATCAGACTAGAATTTTAAACTTGGCTTTGTCCAACTTGCATATGTAAACATAACATTTCTTGTAATACAAAAGATTTTTACCCTATTTTACCTTGTTTTTTGTCTTGTGTTAAGCTCACGTCTAAATTTCACAACGTACGTTTTCTAGAGTTTTTTTGTCACCATGAATTATTTTGTCAAGACATTTTCAGTATTGCATATTTTCAGTCCACAGCAATGTGTGACTGTGACACATGATGAGCAACTGATGTCACCAGTCACTTGGTTTCTAAATGGACTGCTAGCTTACTGCACACTGCATACTAATGAGGAGATCCCACTGACTGCTATCCAGTAAAGCACTATATAAAAGGAAGGAATGTTTATTATAATCTAAAAATACTTTGTGGAATGGTATGCAATGTTAAACGCTTCAAACCGCAGTATGTTGCTGTTGTTCAGGTGTGTAGCTGCACCCACATTGAAAACTCATTGGTGCAACATCATGCTTTAAATTACTGAATATTTATCAGATGTATTGTCATGATGTGAACTATAAATACTGGCATTAGTTGATGAAGTCGGTCTTTGGAGTTTGGATGATATGAGATGATTCATTTGTATGAACTCACACACACAGGAAGCCTTCACTGCAGTCCACCAAAACAACACAAAACCAATCACAGCGTGATATGATCTGCTTCCTAAAACACACACACACACACACACACACACACTCACAAGCTCCCAGGATTCCTCTGCTGTTTCAGTGGGAAGAGGAGAAATGGACAGACAAAGAGTCCATTCACTCACATAGAGAGTGAGAGAGAGAGACGGGCTAATGACAGACAGACAGATGCAGCAGATAGAATCCTCTGATGTGAGATCTTTAACAGCATTATGATGTATCATACAGGCCACCATGAGTGACCTTTGACCTTTCCCATACTTCTGCATCACTGGTTTTTCTGCAGGACTCAGATTGTAAATTGGACATCAACCTGCGACCAATACCGTATCAGAATGATTTGATCAAAAAGAGTTTTCTCTTCACTTTAAAAGCTGATGTATTCATATTTTATAATCTTGTTTTAGTCTTAAAAGAAACCGGAATATCTTTCTTCTGTTTTGAATCATTCCTGCATCAGATTGCTAAAGGAATCAGACTGAAGGAGAGAGAGACAGTTTCAGGTTTGCTGATCAGACTGTGACTAAGCTCCGCCCCCAGCTCCTAGTGCAGTGATTTATCTGACCCCGCCCACTCATCTATAGGCTCCGCCCACACTGCCCCTCTCTGCTCTCATTCGCTCCTCATTCTCTCATTCTGTCATTCGGTCGGCTGTGATTCACATCAGTGTGTGTTTGTGCAGCTCTGCACTGCGCTTATGCATCTCACACACACACACACACACACACACAGGGGTTGAGGGGTGACCTTTGAACTTTCAACCTCGTGCCAATCAGCTGGGTGAGTTGTTGCAGTATTTTCTGTCATTGTTGTTTACAATGTGTTGGGTTTTCTCAAGTGTGATAGAGTGCTTGTGTGTGTTCTGAGTGTTTTTTACATCTGCGTGTAAGTGTTTTTTTCAATGAGTGTGTTTGTGTTTTTTTTCAGTCTGTGTTTTAAGTGTTTGTTTAGTTGTGTTTGCTTTTTAAGTCTGTGTTGTAAGAGTGTGTTTTAAGTGTGTTTTTAAGTGTGCATATGATTTAAATGTGTTTTTGTCGGGGGGGGATATTAGTGCACTGCGCTTATACATCTCACACACACACACACACAGGGGTTGAGGGGTGACCTTTGAACTTTCAACCTCGTGCCAATCAGCTGGGTGAGTTGTTGCAGTATTTTCTGTCATTGTTGTTTAAAATGTGTTGGGTTTTCTCAAGTGTGATAGAGTGCTTGTGTGTGTTCTGAGTGTTTTTTACATCTGCGTGTAAGTGTTTTTTTCAATGAGTGTGTTTGTGTTTTTTTTCAGTCTGTGTTTTAAGTGTTTGTTTAGTTGTGTTTGCTTTTTAAGTCTGTGTTGTAAGAGTGTGTTTTAAGTGTGTTTTTAAGTGTGCATATGATTTAAATGTGTTTTTGTCGGGGGGGGATATTAGTATTACTGGAAAACACGCATCATATTAGACACATGTGCTGTGCTGTGTGTGTTTGTGTGTGTGTGTGTGTGCTGCAAGACTAAGGAATGCTAAGACAGACCCACCCAACAATATACAGAGCGAGAGAATGAGCAGGAGACCATGATTGTGTCTCTCTTCACATTCTTTGTGAAGCAGCAGTTTTACCTTCCTCAATGGACAGCTTTGTGTGTCACACACACACACACACACACAGAGGCTGATTTACTAATGTCCTGATGAATGAGTGTGTGTTTCTGTGCTGGTATGTGTAGCTTGTATTGTGTTCATGTGTGTTTCAGTATAATGTCGTGAATGTGTGTGTGTGAAATTTCTATCCTGCCTGACATGCGTTTCTTCTCTTTCTGCAGTCTTTAAGTGTTCAGTATTTGTGTGTGTGTGTGTGCGTGTTTGCTAGAAATTTTCTGTGAACATCCACATTTGTAAAAAAAAAAGTATAAAAATACGTTTTTTTTTTTTTTGGGTTAAGTTTTCTGTTAGGGTTTGTGTTTGCTTATAGTGTTTATAACTACCTGTATATAAAAACAACGGAAGTCTATGCAATCTCTCCATTTAGATCACTAAACACGTGTGTGTGTGTGTGTGTCTGTGTGTGTGTGTGTGTGTCCTGCGTTGGAAGTTGTAATGACAACATCCTGATCACTGTATGTAACGTTTCTCTTTCATCTCTTCAGTTTTTCCTGCCTGCTGTCAGATTACTTCAGTGTGTGTGTCTGATTTCATCTGCTGAAAGCTGTGTGTGTGTGTTTGTGTGTGTGTGTGTTTCCGTGTGTGTGTGTTTCCATTACAGTCCTCTGGAATCTCACTGCTACATGTTATAATCAAACACACACATGTTGACACACGCTGCCGGGGTTTCTGGTGTGTGTGTGTGTGTGTGTGTGTGTGTGTGGCTCATATTTTCTGAGATTCAGAATCAAAGCCTCAGTGATGACAAGTTGATTTTGATTGGTGTTTTTTCTTGAATTAATTTGCATACTAAATGGTGATTTGCTCTAGTCTCTGTGAGTTTTGACGTGTTTGTTGTGTTTAAATGATCTAGAATGATTTTGAGGTGTTTTCATCACTTCTGTTTCCTTCAGAAAATGCCTGTTAACTTTGTTTTTGTTTGGGTGGAGATTGGAAATCTGTAAAGTTTAGAAATAAAATGAGATGAAATACTGATATTTACTTATCAGACACAGACGTTACTGAAGGACAGTCATTTACAGCAGGGTTTCCCGAATGGGGATTCGAGGGTTAATGCTTGAGGGTTGTAGTGTAAAACAAAAATTATTTTATAATTATTAAATATTAGTTTTTTATTTTACAGTACAACTGTCATTTACAGCAATAATATTTATGGTTTCATTTTTTTTTTAGTTAAAACTAAAACTAATCATCATCATCATCATCATAAAGACCCTGAATGAGGTTTCAGCAGCAGCAATTTTAGACTTTTTCATATGTGACGAAATGTCATATTGCAAAATCACCATACATGAAAAAATCTATGTAATATGTAATATTTTGGCCAAGTTGTGCAGCTCTATGTATTAAACTGTTAAAATAAAAAAGATCAAACTAAAAGATTAAATATGTTATTTGTTTACCTGCATGTCATGTGACCATTAAGCAACATCAGAGAACCGTGAACATGCAAATATGTTGTTAAAAGTATTGAAATATTGACTTAAGATCTCAGGGCGACTTTGAGTGAATATTTCATGTCTAAGAGGTAGGACTGGACCAGAATATTAGATTATTCGAATATTCGTTTGGTGGGTTGGCATTCGATTTTCAATTTTGAGATTCGAATATTCTTTTTTTTTTTTTCGAACACCTGGCATCCCCCGCGAAATGGTTCTCATTCGCGCTTGAATATGAATCGCATGAGTGAACGTCATGATTAATTTCATCTGGAAGAGAAGACAAAAATGCCGAAGACCTCAGCTGTGTGGGAGCACTTTAAATTGAGTGAGGAAAAGTTCAAACATCAAGTAGTTCTGTAAGTAGTAGGCCTATAGTATATTGTTGGTGTAAAATAAAACGAGCTGCTTTTATCTGCCATGTTAATCAGTAATTTTACACATGATAAAAACGTGCACTTAATTTGCTTGGAAAATACTTGTGAATACGGCAGTCATAAAAAACGTACAGTAGCCCAGCCTAATAATAATTTGTCTATATTAAAAGTATTGCTCTTAACAGACCTGTGTGTTTTGTATCACTAGTGCAGTGTCCGTTCTCAGAGCATGTAAGCCCTGCATGCTCAATGAATAGTGAGGCGCGCCGCTTCCGGCTCGCGCTGTTCTGTAGTTTATTAAGTTTATTAATTCTGAACGTGACGCGTGTCCATATTGCACCAAAATGCGACACTGCACTCCCTTGGGTCCGCAGCAACACACCCGCCACGCGTTAAGTCGATTGGATGAACGGTTCTCGACATAATAAAAATGTAAACAGACAGACAGACACAGATTCCTGCCTTTATTACACCGCGTCTACACCAGACGCGACAGTTGCCGCGCAGCGCCGCAACAGCTAAACAGCTACACTGGACGCGAAAAAGCAACTGTTGAAAATCATTTGAAATTTGTGTCAATACGTAATAAATGGAATGCAGCAGCAGTTTTCTGTCGGGGATTTGTCGTGTCGCGCCGCGCCACATCCAGTGTAGACAGCATCACTGATTATAATGAGTTCTATAGTATTTTGTCACACCCTTCAGTAAAATCCTTCAGAATATAGACACGGTGTTCGAGAGAAGAATATGTTCAGCCCCCTCCCTCCGAAGCTTCGAATATACGGTGTTGATTACTATCGAAGCTTCGAAGCTCAAAAAATGGTATTTGGACCAGCCCTACTAAGAGGTTTGGCTGACAAAAAAAAGTTTGGGAATGGCTGGGTTACAGAGTGTGTTTTTGAGTCCAGATGAGTCTGATGCTGATGGTGATGATGTCATCAGTGTGTTTGTTTGCATTATTAGCCGCAGATGGTTTCTGGATATTTGCTTATTTCAGAGAGATTACTGTCCGTTTGTGTTTTGTTTGCTTCTCCATCCCAGTGTATCCTTCTCCACACACACACACATGCACACACACACACACTCATTGTCTGTTTTGGGTGGATCCAGACCTGTGGTTTTTTTAGCACTTTTAACAGACGCACAAACTGTTAAGCTGATTTGGAAACCCGAAGCACACACTCCAGATCTGATGTGTGTGTGTGTGTGTGAGAGTGTGTGTGTGTAGACTGTGTGTGTCTGTGAGTGTGTGTGAGTGAGTGTGTCTGTGTGTGTGTGTGTGTGTGTGTGTACAAATGTTTTAATAACAGCCACACACACACACACACTCTTACGGTGAATGATCTCGAGCTGCTGCACGTGGTTCAGTGAGGTGATGCAGGACATCAGCAGCTCTTCACTCGTCAGTGCTTCAGCTTTGGCTTTCTCCTCATAAGCGAGCAGCGTGTCCGACTCGTCCAGCAGGAAAGGAACACCCGTCTTTACATACATTCTCTATACATAATATTTAGCATAAAAATTGTTAGATCATTACAGAAAAAAGACTCTCATGTGGATAAAATATTGCTACATTTGTCAATCAACCATTTAAGATCCTCTAGAACAGTGGTCGCCAACCCGTCGATCGCGATCGACTGGTAGATCTTTATCACTGTCCCAGTAGATCCCGAACAAAACAGTAAAATAAGTAAAAAAAAATGCATTACATTTATGGGGTTATATTAATGTGTCACTGAAGGGAACGGTCTTGAGAAAAGTTTCGATGGCATTTTCTTCTCCGTATAAAGCGCAGCTCTGCTTTGTTTACAGCGATAAACAAGGAAACGCTATATTGCGGTCGGTTCATAAGCAGTGTTGCCAAGTCTGCGGTTTTCCCGCGGCATTGGGCTTCTTTAACACTGTTGCCGCGGGTTGTTGTTCATGTCCGCGGGTTGAAGCGACCCCAATAACGTGATATTTAGTCCCTGGAATGTGAATTTTACTTGAAGATACCCGCCGAAAAACGTGTATTTTACCCCCGGAATGCGATTTTTACAGGGGAACCCTCCTCGAAACGCGAATGGACTAGTTTTATTGCGAAAACCTGGCAACCCTGTTCATAAGCGCCACCTGCTGTCAGAGAGTGCGTCTCATTCAGACCTGCTGTTTTTGTTTCGTGCAGATGTTTTATGTAGCAAATAAATAACACCTAAAGTCAGACCATTCTGTTTTTGTTTTAAATCCTGAAATTAATCTAAATCAAATCAAAAACAACTGCCCGTGCAGATCGTGATTAAAATGCAGTGGTTGCCTCTAATTTCAAATGGCTAGATATTTTTGTTTAAAGCCAGTTTGTTTGTTATAAAGCAAAAAGCCAATAAATAAATTTGCTTAAAAATCAGTATCAGAATCCAATTTGCTAGTAAAAAAAAAAA